CTCCCTTGTAGGAGAAGCAGTCCACAGAGCTTGCTCTGGGCAGACAGACACAGTACCAATCTCAGCTGGTCACTACCAGGACCCAAGGAAGTCTTTTCCACCTCAGTACTTCTGGCCAAGCTTGCTCCCTGCTCCATCCATAGCCCAGTGTCCACTGCTGTCCCACTGATCTGGTGGGTACATCTTGCTGGCTGGGGCCTCTGGCCACTTATCTCAGGAGGTCACTGATATTTATCGTTTATAATAGATAAGGTGAATGTGCAACAGTGACACCGGAAGTAAAACAAATACATTTCCAGGAGCAGAAGGTCGAGGACCTGGAAGAGCCCACATGCCAACTTCTGCATTTCTAAGAGGAACAGCTTCCTAGTGGCCTTGTCAGATCTGCACTGTCCCAGAGCCCCAAACCTGTGACTCTTGGGATACTCTGAAAAAAAAAAAAACCTGACCCAAATGAAGCCTCAAAAACACAAGGCTAGCAGGGGAGACGGCTCAAGCAGGAGAAGCACTGTGCAAATGTGAGCCCCAGAATTTGGATCCCCGGGACAAAGGCAGTCTGCTTGTAATTGCAGCCTTGGAAGATAGAGACGGGTTCCCCAAGCAAGCTAGAAAGATTAGTCACATCAGTGAGCTCTGAGTTTGACTGAGAAACCTGCCGCAATGATTAAGGTAGAATAGTTATTGAGGATGTTTCCTGATATCAATTTTGGACTTCCATAGGCACATGTACCCCCACACTTACCCCTGCAATGCACCCCCCACATGAACCCATGCAGTGCACCCCCACAATGCACCCCAATACATGAACCCCTGCAATGCATCCCCATGCATGCACCCCCACAATATATCATTGCACATGCATCACCACCCATGCAGTGCACCCTTCAAGTGCACCCTGCAGTGTATGCCCGCACATGCACCCCTGCACACCCATTCACTCCACACATGAAAGCAGTCATATGCACATGCACAAATGGGATTTTTTAAAGAAAAAGGCAAGTATTGAGTTCCCAGTCCATGACTTTAAGGATCAAGGAAAAAGTCACATTCAGAGAGGCCTCCAGGTCATGCTGCCCACCCCCATGGTACCTATGGCTGACCTGGGGCTCACTCCTACAAGCAGCTGGCAGTGACAATACCCATGGGAATATTCTAGATTGTTCTGAGTGGAAGTAGCCATTGTGTTTATTCTTTGTATTCAGCAGTTCTCACAAGAGGAACCAGGGAAGGACAACTGACATCTCTCCAAGTGATAGAGGTGCTCTTGGTCCCTGTCCTCCAAACCGAGTACCTGTTGTCCTCACAAAGCCAGTGTTTCTGAGAGAGGCACTAGAACCGTCTCCTGTGAATGGGGTGACTCCCTCAAGGAAGTCCTGGCAGGGCAGGGTAACGTGTCTCCCCGTCTCCACGGTGGTGGGGCAGCCAGAGCAGCAGCAGCAGAGAGCGGGTACACTGAGAACTGGGCAAGAGCAGAGAGAGGCCGGGAGGACGTGACAGCTACAGACTAAGGAACAGCAATCAGGCCTGCTGATGGCAGGGAACTGATTCTCCCCCAGAGCCTCTGAGAGGTCCGAGGACCCCGCTGGACAACTTCATCTTGGACAGCTGGCCTCCTGGACTGTGACAGAATATTTCTCTGCTGTTTTAGATGCCTGGCTCAGGGTAATTTGTTCCGGCAGTCCCAGGAAATGAGTATAGCATCCTTCCTCCATCAGGCACCAGGCCTTAACCCTGCTCCACCCACATCATGACTCCTGGCGAGGTCCCTAACAACCTTCTTGTTGCCAGGACAGCTGCCAGCACTCCTGACCGGCCATTACTTTGTCTTTCTTGAAACCCTTCCTTCCCTTGGCACACAACAGCATCTCCTGGGATCCTCTGCACACAAGGCCTGCTTCTCCTGGGCCTCCTGCTTCTAACAGAGTCCAGCGTCAGCCTTCAGGCCCGGCTCTCCCATCCCTCTGAGTGCTCTCATCCAGGGTCATGGTGTAGTTATTGTCTTAGTGTGCTGGGGATGGAACCCAGAACCTTGTGCATGCTAGGCAAGCTTGTTACCCTTAAGCAACTCCCCCAATACCATCTATATATGGATGAACGCCCGGTGTCTCCAACTCCAGGCTCGTAGGTCCACCTGTCCATGGTCCTCCCTCTAGCTTTGTCCCATCTTTCCGATTGTGGACATATCCTTCGACCTGCTCAGGCCAAATACCTCGAGTCATATCCTTAGCAAGCTTTCTCATTTCCTACACACAATTTCCTGAGGTGCGCACTCTAGAATACGGTAGCCTCTATCATCACTACAGCTCTTGCCTTGCCTCAAGCCCAGTCATCTCTTACCAGACAACTGTCATGGCAGCCACTCTTGCCTACCATCAGCCAAGGGATCCTCGTAAGGCATGAGTCACCCCTCAACAATGCCCTGAGGTGCCAGTGTAAGCAGGTGCCATCTCTCCCTCCTCTCCCCTGGCATTAGCAGGGCTAATGATAACACGCCACCCTCAGATGTCCTGCTCAGCACCCCAGGAAATGGCCACATCCATGTTCCTATCTGCATCTTCCAGAGTCAAACATATACAACCAGGACTATGGAAAAGGAGAAGCCAAGGGTCTTGGTGCTTTCTGGCACTCAGTTAGGTTGGGGAGCACCCAGAGTGTGATCACTGATCAGGAAGTAACTTGATGTGACGTTCTGAGTCTATCTGGATCTTAGCTGCCATGATGGATGCTCCAGTTCTCACATTCCCACCCGGCCAGTAGGGCTGGAGCTCTGGACTGAAGAAAAAAGAGAAAGCGGGCATTCACCTTCCTCTGCTTCCGGACTATGGATGTAATGTGACTGGCTGTCTCATGCCTTCTCCATGATGGACTGGACCCCTCGAACTGTGAGCCAAGGCAAACCCTTCCTTCCTTCATTTGCACTGCTCGGGTGTTTGTCCCAGCGACAGGGAAAGGAGCTAGCTTGGCGTGCAGCCCCCACACCTGATGCAGAGCTAAGCAGAGTTCCATTTGCTCACTGGACATGTGTCTGGGCCTCTGGGATGCCACTGCTGAAAACGTCATGTGCGCTATGTGTGGCTTGTCGAGGGCACACCGAGGGCAAACACACCCCAGGCCCCTCCATGCAAATCCTCAGGACTCATGAAACCCCTGGCAGGCCTGTTCCCAAATGACAAGGTTGGGGAGTTCTCATGGAGCCCAGATCCGTCTGGGAGACAACAGGAGCCCGGCAACCCTCCCATCTATCATCTGTCAGTCTTCAGCGAAGGAGCATAAACCTCCCTGCGGCGTTACTGAGCACTCCTCCACAGGGAGGCGGCGGGCAGGCCCAGAGCCAGGCTTCCCTGAGAACCTCAGCCCGGACACCTGACCTAGCAGTCCCAGTCTCCGCCCACCCCTGCAAATTTGGCTGTGGACTTATGCCACCTATTTCTGTAATCGAGGGAGACTGACTCCCAGAACTGGCTCTGCCAGTTCCCGGTCCAGGCCTGAGATGCCTTCCTCAGGGAAGTTCCCTTCTAGGTGCACACTGGGCCACTCTGCCAGGAGTGCCATGCCCCTCAGGCCGCGCTGCACAGGGAAAGGTGGAACCGGCGGGGACACTGCACTGCAGACACTTCCACCCCGTGATGGGCTCCCTGCCATCGTCCAGGCAACATGGAAAGGAAGAGGAAGAAGTTTCTAGGTGCCCTCAACATTCCAGTGTCTCCCAAAGGTAGACTCTGGGGATCCTGCAGGGTCAGAGATGACAGGCCAGTCGAGGACTGTCTCCTGACACCAGTGGGAGCCACACCTATCACTCACCACAGGCTGGGGCTAGGAATTGAAGAGTCAGGCAAATCTGCCTTAAAACCAGCCATGGGTGGTTGGCGCTTTCTGGCTCACCCCTTCTGGAGATGAAACACACCGACCACAGGAGACAACCCTGTAGGAAGTGAGCTCCCAGAGAGGGGGCTTGGCCTGAGGTAGGCGGCTCTGGAGCACCAGGACCCCAGTTAACACCCATGCTGTGCCATCACAGACCTGCACCTGCCGCCACCAGCACAGCTATTTCATGCTGCTGCATGCAAGCTACTTCAGCACGGAGAAAGGCCACACCCCTTTCCAAAAGGACAGGCAGAAGTCACTGCTGACTCAGCGCAAGTCTTTCTCAGGACTTCCGTGCAAAGGAGTGTCGAGCTCTGGGAGAGAAACTCAGAATCTGGGTCATGACTGAAAAAGGTCCTTGGCTTTCACTTATCTACAAAGCTCACCTTGGTGGCACTGGCTACTGGGCTAGAATATGGATAACTACAGTTCAAGGCTGGAAGCATGTTAATCAGAGAATAATAAAAACCGTTCATCTATTTATCTGCTCACTACACCATGACCTATTCATCCATTCATCTGACCGCTCCATCATCCATGCATCCATCCACTCGTCCATCTGTCCGTCTGTCTGTCCATCCAGCCATCCTCTGCTTATTCATGAAGCACTGCCAGGTACTTCAGCAGGCTCTGGACAGAATTTCTCAGTTAGCCAGACATAGGTCACGAATGGTGTGATGTTTGAATGTATTTGGTGCCCATAATCTTATAGAAAGAGGCAGTATTAGGAAGTGTAGCTTTGTTGGAGTGTGTATGGCCTTGGAGGAAGGGTGTCACCGTGGGGGTGGGCTTTGATTTTCCAATGCTCAGGACACCACCCAGACTTCTTGTTGTCTGTAAGATGTAGGACTCTCAGCTATTCCCTCCAGCACCATGTCTGCCTACACTGCCATGCTCCCCACTATGATTATAGTGAATTGAACCTCTGAAACTGTAAGTGTGCCGCCCCAGTTAAATGTTTCCTTTCCAAGAGTTGCTGTGGTCCTGGTGTTTCTTCACAGCAATAGAAACTAAGACATACGGCCTGTGTGGATTCACAAACACTGGGCTATTGACTTGAAGACATTCTAAGTCCAACAACTCCATAACTAGCCAGGACCAACAGGGATGTGTGGGAGGACGCAGGGAACACTTACGATCAAGTCCGTTCAAGTAGCGCATGCGGATCTCACAGTGGCCCCAGACGGCGCTCACTACAGGATACAGTTTTTTACCCTTAAGTCCCCGAAAAGCCACTCCCATGTACTGTCCATCCACAATGAAACTCAGGGTCCCATCATCCATGTCCAGGGCCACAAGAAAGGAGTCAGGGACAATGAACGTCTCATCTGGCCCCAGAAAGGCTGGGTATGTTTTACTTGGCTGGTTCTTGCCATCATGGTAGAGACGGTTTCGCCCCAAGTCCCAGCCCCAGGACTCGTGGTTATTTCCTATGAGGGTTGTGTACCCAACGGAGTGCAGAGGGGCGTCCGCTGTGGCCACCCCCACCACAGCATGTGTGCCTCGTTGCCTCATGGCCCATGTGATCTGCCACACATGCAGTCCACGTGTGTACCCAATTTTGCCCCTGATAGCGTCTGTGCTCTGGGCCACCGGATGCCGGTGAAAGATCAACTTGTCATCTTCCTTCACGAAGACATTGAGTGAACGGTCATTATTGTTCCAGGAGTGGAGCAGCTGGACATCATAGGACACGGGGGGCATATCGAGCAGCAGGTCCAGCCGGGTGGGCTTGCAGTAATCCAGACCCTGGAGCTCCTGCTTCAGAGGTCGGTATGTGGGGTCCCGCATGTCCACAGTCTTGATCCCTCCCGTGACCTTCTGACCCATGTTGACCTTTGGTTTCACCTTTTCACTGACTCCCAAGGCAAACTCATCAATCTTGGGGCCTTGACTCCAGATCAGGGCCGGACAGAATTCCTAAGGACGGTTGCTAGGCGATCTCCGAAGGTTGTGAAGCATTCAGTATTGCCTAATGGATGGAAAGAAAAACAGGAGAGTGGGTGAGTGGGGTGCAGAAGGGGAAAGATTAAAGAGGAACGCAGAGTTACACACACCAATTCGTCTCAGCAGCTTGGAACCCTGGTGCAGAATGAAATGCCCCCGTCCCTGTGGCTATATTGTCACAAAGGAAAAGGGGCCATCTGTCCCACAGCCTGTGTGGAGAGGTAGAGGTGGGCTTGGGGACTGGAACCGGCACTCAGTGTGCTGGGTCAGTCTGAGACACCACTGGGGCTTCTAGGTGGTGTCTCACAGCCAGAAGGCCAAGGTGGTGACACAGACGCTGGAGTAAGCCTCAACCCAGTGACACCTCGGTCAGGACGAGGGCATGCACTGCTTTGCTTCCCTGTGTGGAACCCACAGTGCGGCACAGGCAGATGAGGACACCGAGCGCACCCTCCCCTCTTCTCCAGCGGAGTCATCTCTGATAGGGAGGAAATCCCGACGCAGACAGCAGGTCGGCTGAGGAACTGCGTGCACATACACACTGGGCCAGGCGCTGAGGCCCAGAGGTCCATACCTACCCAGACTAGCACCATCAACAAGGTTTTCCTCAAGGCCCCCGGCTGGGCCCTGGACTCGGATGGACACGGAAGGGCAAGGCTCATCCACTCAACCACACGTGGTTCTGGGCTAACTTGCAGATGGTCAACCGCTTTGTTAGAAGTCAGCCTTCACCTAGAGGGCAATGCTTCATCATGCTTGGGTCTCCCTGTTACAGCACGGTAACAGGGATGCTGTGGCAGGGGCCTAACTGCACATCTCCAGGGTCTGTTAACGAGGATGGGGAAGTGGGACCGAGGGGAGCCCTCACAACATCTGTCTACTCCATCTCTAGTGGTGACTGAAAGGAGGAGGAGGCTAAGAGCAGAGCTGACAGCACCTCCTCCACCTGTCCCTGCCCAGCTTGGTATCAGGGAAGACAGCAAAGCAGTTGCATTCCTGGGTCCTCCTCATGAGCAGGTGCTCTTTGCCACCCAAACCTGGAGGGTTGGAAAGATGGCTCAGAGGCTAAAGGGCCTGCCTCGCAAGTTTGAGGACCAGAGTTCAGATCCTTAGAGCCTACATAGGAGCTGGGTGGTTGTGGCAGCCCTTCCCCGTGACCTTGGTGCACCTGGAAGTGGAGACAGGCTCCCTCCAGAGCAAGCTGGCTGGATCACTAGCTAAAGCAGTGACTTCAGAGAAACACCCTCAACATACAAGGTGGAGAGGTGAGAAAGAACCCACTGCCATCCTCCAGTCTCGAAACACATGTACATACACACACACACACACACACACACACACACACACACACACACCACATATATTTATAAACCCACAGAACCCTCCTAGGCCTCCAGAAGGGACTTCTGCACCCCATTTTGAAGAGGAGCCTATGAACAACAGGATAATGAGGGCTCCATAATCTAACAGAATGAGCATCAGCCAAGATGGGTGAGGGCCACCGAGACTCGGCTGTTGGGAAACAGGGTCATGCTGAGTCACCTGTCCCAAGGGGCTCTAGGACACCCGAATAAAGCAGATGAAAGAAGTGGGAAGGAGTCTAGTGTGAGAAGGCTGCGGGGTGCCAGGTTGAGCATCTGGGGACCAGAAAGCACTGGTCCTCGTCAGTGAGCACAGGTCCAGGAGGTAGGACAGGTCTGCTACAGGACCAGCATAAGCCGCTGTCCTCTTAGCTGGGAAAGACCGCCATGAGAATGTTGCCTTCAGGGTGGAAAGGTCTCCTGGAGGCTCAGTCCCAGGGGATGGATCTAGGTGAACACGTCTGCCCATTGTCCTTATCCTGTGGCTGTCATTCCTTCTTAGTGCCAGAGAGAGCACATGGCACACCCCACCGTAGCTCCCAATCCCAAGGACATGGACATCTCTACAGGGACAAGGCAGGACCTGTGCCCAAATCTACTTAGACCCGAAATGTCCCTTTGCAGCTGAGGACTACACTGGTTCCACAAAGTCCCGTGGATTCTGTGACCCTACTTCACAGAATGTCAAGGTACAATAATCCTCATTTCTTTCATCTTTTTTTGTGATACCTGGTGATAAACCTATTGCTTTGTAGCCTCTGATCTCAGCACTAGGGAGGCGGAGGCAGAGGCAGGTGGATCGCTGTGAGTTTGAGGCCAGCCTGGTCTACAGTGTGAGTTTTAGGACAGCCAGGGCTGACACATAGATAATCCCTGTCTTGGAAAAAACCAAAAAACTAAACAAATACAAGGACAACAAATCCCATGCTTTGTACACGCTAGGCAAGACTTCTGCCACTGGACGACATCATCAGACCTTTTAAAGACTTTAAATGACTCAAGGTCTCACACTGCTGGCTCCATCATTCATCTGTGGTTTTTTGCTTTAAACTCCTTGAGTTATGGCCCTGACATTCCTCAGTGACAGAGCTTTCCTCACCTAAAATGCTTCTGGTCCGAGTGTTTTATCATAGCAGTAGAGATCAAGTGAAAATAACCAGAAATGGCAAATTTTCTGTGTAAAGGCTCCATGCTAACTGTCTTGGGCTTTGTGGGACAGACTACAGCTGTTCAACTTCATCAGAGCACAAAAGCACCTATGAAAGGCAGACAAACTAATGTCCATGGCTGCAGTCCAATAAAACTTTATGTGTAAAAACAGGCCAGCCCACAGCCTGCCAGTCACCAGCGAGATTATGGCTCCTACTCTGTCTCTTCTGAATGAAGTTTTGCGAAGGCTGCAGCAGGCAAGCATGCAGCAAGGATGAGAAAGGATGTCCTGGCAGCCTTAGATGAACAATCGAAAGAGTGACCTGAGGGTGGAGCGTCCACAATCTGTCCAGGTCAGTCCCACATGCTCCTTTACCGAGATGTTTCCAAAGGTCTGTGTAAGGCCCACTGAGTCCACTACCAGCCACACTGTGCTGAGCTGTGGGAAGGGTGAGAGCCCCAGGCATGGAATGGCTGTGAAGGTGTGTGTCCATGGGAGGGAAGGTGTGGGAAGGAGGAACTGGAGAGGGTAACACTGGGGAAAGTATCCACAGTATTGTGAAATGACCCTGCGAAAGGGCAGGCTAGAGGACACAGTCCAAGCCCTCTGCTGTATGTGCGCCACCATCCCGTCATCTGAGTCACCTTCTGCGTGGTCAGTTGCCATGGCAATCCTCGAGTCACTCCTGACTCATCTTTCCTGTGTGTCCAGGTTGTTGGCTGAAGATGACACTGTCCTATTGTGCATAGCTAGCCACCTCCTAGCCTACGCAAGGGTGCGAAAGCCATCCGGCTTCCTTTCTCTCGTCCACTTTAAAACTGCCCATACAGGGAGCTGGGAAGATGGTTCAAAGGTTAAAAGTACGCACTGTTCTTACAGAGGACCAAGTTCCACTTCCAGCACCCACGCCAGGCGGTTCACAACTGACTGCGGTGCCAGCCTGGTACCTCTGGCCTCCGTGAGGACCTGCACCCACGTGCACATTCCCCGCCCCACACACATACACGTAACTTTGAAAAACACCCCCAGGCAGACGTACCCTTCCTTTCTCACCTTTCCCTGGGCTGCGGCCTGAAGGACATGTCCCCGGCCCGTCTCCAAGGCTCCCAAACTCACTCAGGATGACTGTGCCTTGAATATACCAGCTAAGATTCACCCTTGGCTTTGCCAGTTCCCCGTTTGTTCATTCATAACGTGAACGTCACCAGTGTGTCACACGCTTTTCTGAAACTCCATGGAGACAATGTCCGAGAGAGGGCCTGGCACAACTGGCATATTCCTTTTGATGTTCTAGAATGTGCTCATTCACTGAACAAAGATCACTGTGAGTCGCTCTTCCTGGTTACTGCACCTGGCACAACAGATGGACCCTGCCTCAGGCCATGATCTGGGCACTGGAATGCCATCCTACAGAGGACTAAGATGAAGGACTCTACTGAGCCAGGTTCAGTGGGCCTGGTTTGTGAACGGCCAGATGGTAAACATTTTAGGCTTTTCAGACAGTGTGTAAATAAATGGGTGTGTCTATGTCCCAATAAAACTCTAAGAAAACAAAGAGCTGGATTTACCCCACGGCCACAGTTTTCTGACTGACCCCACTTACGAAGCTGTGAAAACCTGCTGACCTGCTCCCCAAAGCACCTGGACATGGAGCTCGGGATGGGGTGGGTGTGTGGCGTCCATGGGTGCTGAGTGACAGGAACATGGGTGGGTCTGCAGAGCTGTGATTGACAATGGATGAGACAGGCTTCATTGAGCCAGCAGAGAGTCCAGCAGTGGGTACTATTAGTAGGAAGTGGGGAGCTGGCACAGGTGCCGGCTCTAGGTCACCCCCATTTCCTACTGTTCTAGGAACAAAGCAGAAGCTCAAGGGGTTCAAGTGTGCCACATGAGTGCCAGGGCCTAAGGTTACCAAGAGAGATGGCAGACCTCTATGAAGTGGGAGGACTCAGCCCTCGTCCCTACCCAGGAGACGCCAGACCGTGAAGGGAGTGGGTATGTGTTTCCTGTTGGCTGAGTAGAGGGCTGAAGGGCTGGACCGCCATCACCTCATTCTGCCACTCACGGCAGCCATGGATGCCTTCACAGACAGGCATGCATGCCGTATGCACGTGGGCGCCACTGAGTGTAGCGATGGTAATGGTCAGCCAGGCAAGGAGCCAGGACAGAAGCCTGGAAGTTGGACACCTACTTGATTCCCTTAGCAATTCACCTGCTCAGAAAGGAAACTCCGGCATTCACCACCACGCCCTTCACACAGCACCTGCTGGCCATCCTCATGGCCAGCCAACTCCCAAACAAAGTCCTAGCTGGCACCCCCCTCACCCTACGAAACTCTGGCCACCCCAAATAATGAAAACATCCTACTGCGCAGTTGTCAGACAATTACAGTGCTGGTGATTCCCAAGGACCAGGGACACCCCTCAGAGAGAGCAGAGGAGGAGACACGCCATGTCATTACCCCATCCCAGCCACGGGAGTGTGCACACAGGTGTACGTATGTGCACATCTGTG